ATTAAACTTTGTAAATTTATAAAGATTATCAACACAGGTATATGTGCTCCTGGCTAAAATGTACTTCATGTATTGTCTGAGCAATAGTTCTGTTTGTTCTGTCTTATTGTAAATATTGTACATAAATGTCTTCTCTATACCTATGTATATAGTTTATTGAGAATAAAGATAAAGTATGAGAAAAAAAGACCAAAACTCAGAAACTTAATTTTGACAACTGAACCATGAAAATGAGGCCAAGGTTAGATGGCACCTGCAAGCTAGACATGTACACCTTACAATCATTCCATACACCAAATATAGTAGACATATTGCATACAGTATAAGAAAAACAGACCAAAACACAAAAACTTATCTATAACCACTGAACCATGAAAATGAGGCCAAGGTCACATGACACCTGCCAGTTGGACATGTACACCTTACAGTCCTTCCATATACCGAATATACTTGACCTATTGCTTATAGTATCTGAGATATAGACTTGACCACCAAAACTTAACCTTGTTCACTGATCCATGAAATGAGGTCGAGGTCAAGTGAAAACTGTCTGACGGACATGAGGACCTTGCAAGGTACGCAAATACAAAACATAGTTATCATGTTACTCATAATAAGAGACAAATTATCATTACAAAAAATCTTAACTTTTTTTTCAAGTAGTCACTGAACCATAAAAATGAGGTAAAGGACAATGGACATGTGACAGACAGAAACTTCGTAACATGAGGCATCTATATACAAAGTTTGAAGCATCCAAGTCTTCCACCCTCTAAAATATTAAGCTTTTAAGAAGTTAGCTAACGCCCCCCTATGTCGAGCTTTCTGCGACAAAAGTCGCAGGTTCGACAAAAATCCAACTGACTGTCTAAAAAGATAAGTTCTTCCTTAATTATAATCAAAGAGACAGTTTTTTTATCACTGGATTGTGCTTTTATGTCTTGTGTTAAAATATGCTAGTTTTCGAGTCAAAAGATATTATTAGAATAAAATATTAGAGAAAAAGATTGAACAGAAACCATAAGAATTTAGATCTTTCAAAATTTCTTTTTCGTGCATGAATTAAAATATTGTTTTGAACAGTCTTAAACAAACTTTTATTACTTTTTTCCTGTTATGTGAACATTTATTGGGGGCAGTTGTTATATATTAGCACTATAACAGGTAAAGCTTTGACAATCTTGTCACCTCTAATTACATTTACCTGTAAGAATAAAACGTTTTGGTTCAAGATTAAGAAACAGAACGAAGAGGTTTTCTCCTGTTTCTTAGCCACGGGTGTCATTCGGTTTATCGAGAGAAATGATAGTGAAAGAATATCTTACGGTAGTCAAGTATTGCGAGACGATCGTGAAAGCTCTGGTACCGGATCGTGAATGTAATATAAGTAAATTCTACTTCAGAATGTGTTAAAAAATGGCTGAATTTTCAAAATGCGGAACAAATCCGAACAAAAAAATATGTGTCTGTCAAAATGATTCAACTTCCTCAACATTACTGTGCAATAAGATAAAGAAAATATGCAGTACTTTATGAAAAAACACAAAAGGCACAATGCATGTCTATGGGATTAATTAAAAAAAACACGTTTTTTGTACCTATAATGGTCATATTTCAATATATCATGATATATTTGAAATTTAATCTTTGTTGTGTCCGAAAGTACAGTAAAATAAAAGTATGCTCTTCCCTTAAAATCGTTCATTTGTTTATGAAAACCTTGAATTTTGTTGATTTTTCATCAAACTTGATCGTGATAGATCAGGCAACGCATTATTTTGATCGTGAAAGATAATGCGTGACCAGACTTAATAATCAGAAATCAATATTTCTTTTACCATTTGATATACCTGCAACTGGTTGAAGCCTGTAACTTTTTTGATAAGAACGAACATGAAAGCTATCATTTGTATTTTAAATTCAACACTTTACCTCTAAAGTTAAAAAAATTTAACTTAAAACGTGTCTAAATCAGTGTGAAAAATTCAGCTCTGAGAATCGGACTAGCACAAATCAGACAGACCGCCATTATTTAGCCAATAATATTGGTATGCAACGTTTAAACCAAAAAGTTAACCATCAACCAAAAACTTATAGCAAAAACAGCATCTTTCATGAAATATTTGAGATTGAACGATAACCAACATTTTGTTTGTTATATTTATCTTTGTATACAACGTAGCAGATGTGGATTGATTTCCAATGAGATAACTATATATTACAGAATAAAGAATACAAGAGCGCAAATGTCTCGTCTGCTTTACTTATGATAGTATATTTGTTGAACTTCTGTAATATTAAGGATTTTACTAGAAGTGTCACATACTCTTAAAATTGTCAATGATTCATAAAAAAAGGTCAAGGTCAGATGAACCATGACATACAGATCTCTACAAAAATCCCGTACACCAAATATAGGTGTTCCGATGCTTACAGTACCTTAGAAACTGACAAATGTAAAAGTTATGTTTGCCAATTAATTCGGAACATGAGGTCGAAAGTATATAAACCCTGACCGACAGTCAGACACAGACATCTTACTATCATTCAATATATCAAATACAATTGACGTCATATATGAAACATGCAGACAGACATGTACACCATACACCAAATACCGTGGCCCTATAGCATACAGGTATGTAAGCTTTATAAATATAATGGGCATAAAAATGAGAATTCAAAGTTATAAATACAAAATAAAACATCTTAATGTATAAAAAAACAATACTTATGAAGGACGGACAAATGGACTGGTATTGATACAATATACCAAGTCTGTGTGGTATTATAAGATATTAGATCCAATGGCATTGTACGATTATAGCCCTATTCACCAGCAAAAGAGACCCGGGTCAGTCATGCCAATCTAGTTTTTTTTAATACCAATAACAAATATTAATTATCATATAATTGAAGAATAATATGAACGTTTTCGTAGCATTAGATCTTTCACGATCCTTTTCACGATCTTCAAAAACCGGTACGTGATCTTTCACGATCCGAAATATCAATTTTGTGTGAATATTTCTTTTTTTACCAAGTTTCAGATTATGTTTATACAAAATAACTATGAGATCCATTTGATGCATTCAAATAGAAAGCCCTTTTTCGAAGAAAAATAGTTTATTTTATTGGAATTTGTGAAAAAATCATATTTGTTTACATTTTTGATGTCACTGAAATGTCGAGGAGCAATATGCCTTTTGTTGTTTTGTAAAAACTATGTACTTTTAGAACTGGATTTTCTCACATACTGATCATAATGTTCAACCATTTTGACAGACAGTTTTGTTTTGTTGTAAATTTGTCCGTGTAATTATTTAAATTAGATTATTTAATGACTTTTCATATCTCTTCTCGATTAAATTTCTTTCACGATCCGGTACCAGAGCTTTCACGATCGTCTCGCAATACTTGACCTCCGTTAGATATTCTTTCACGATCATTTCTCTCGATAAACCGAATGACACCCGTGTTAGCGAGTACACACACATTTTGTATTCAGACAATGTACATTTATTGTTTATATCCTACAATTAATAACTGGCGCTTTAAGGTTCGTGGCATATAAACTCTTATGTATTTAATTATTTTGAAAACAAAATGAAAATTATGTCTAATGAATAACCATGATGAAATAATTGTTTTTTTTCCATAATTGAATCGTGCATTATGTGTATTGGATTACTTAGTTGCCTTCTTTCTAGTGCTATCTATTTTGTTTACTGACAAATGACGAAATAATGCAATAGTTAAAATTAAATAGTTTACAAAACTTTGTCACGATTAAAAAATTAAAACCGACTGAATGAATTAAAATATGAGAATTCAATGATTATCGATGTCGAAATTAGCCGTCGGTAATAAACAGTCAGTTTGTGTAAAAGAAATAGCTACCAAATTTGTTTATTATGTATGTACAAAGTATATGCCGGTATATTGTATATAATCAGCCCTTCTGTATATTACTTGTTTTTATAATTGATTCAACAAATTTCCTTGTCCAGGTGTCAATAACGGTGATGTTCACACCACGAGTAGTGATAAATGACACAATAACACAGCGATCGATCAATAATATAAGTAAAAATTGCGTGCCGTATGCTGAATGTCGCCCCTCCTCTGAAAAAGGACGCTAATTTTTATATAAAATCTCGCAAAATTATGACCCATATTTTAGCACATCCCCGTTCATCCAATAATAGGAAGTGAATTCGTCACCATCATGGTTTCAAAGAGAAAGTAAATCGTTAAACGCCGGATTGTCGTCCAATTGAAACACTCGTTACATTGTTCTTTTGTATATTTAGAATCCGAGATAAACCTAGATTTTCTCGAGAAATGAGATAATTCATTATCTGAAATTGAGAAAATTAATTATCTGGAGATAAATTAGGATTATCTGACAATCGATCAGAAAAACCTAGATTTTCTTAATATTTTGAGATAAACCGGGATTTTCTCCAGATAATGAATTTTCTGTATTTTCTGAGATAAACTAGGATTTTCTCGAATTTGAATTAAGCTGAGATAATCTTAGTTTATCTGAGATAAACCGGGATTATCTGAGATAATCCTAGTTTATCAGAGATAATCTAAGATTAATTAATAAAAGTGGTTCAGGCGTGCCATACAAATCTATAAAATCATATGCTTTTAAACTGTCACTAATTGTAATATTTATATTTATTGGATTGTCGAAGTTTTTCTATGTATTTGCTTTACGGTCGACTTGGATATTAAATCATATCTTCTATGTCAATATCAAAGGATGCTTCTGTAATTGAGACTTTATGTAAGAACAAATCTGCTCTTTAAATTTGGTTTGTATCAAGTTCAATGTCCTGCTCATTGATAAAGTATTTTGAGTTATAAAAATATCCTCCTCATCATCATCAATATTATTTACTAGATTGACTCAGATTAATTAAACTGCTTCCTTGGAAATCATTTTAATTTTAACCCATTTACTAGTATTTATGTAAACAATAAACCGGTCTAATATAAACAAAACAACGATATCAAGATCGACGCTTTCACACTAAATGTATTTACATCTAATATTCTCTAGTGAAAAACAGTTACCCGGAATAAATACACGGCGGAATGAAAGTACGCTTACATTTCTTTATTCTTCAAGTGCGAATGTACATGCTACTCTATGATTTACCAGATAAACGAAATTTACAAATCGAGATTCACTTATTTTGTCTTATGGTATATACATTGAGCAATAGTCATTTTAATGTTTTCTTGTCTATGCGATAGTCAGTCCACTTGCTCAAATGTTCATCCTTTATATTTTACACCACAACCTGTACGTTTTCATTGCATTGTTGATTAATTTGTCGTTCCCATTTGAACCAGGCGGTTGTTTTTATTTGTTTAACCATTAATCGATGTCTTGTAGGTTAGTACATTGTCTGTAGCTGACATTTCAACATAAGTTGTATGTTCGTTGGTATTTAATGATCCTCTGTCAGAATGGTCACTATAAAAAAGAAGAAATCTTGTGTCATTTCTACAGGCATACTGTAAAACATGGTATGGTACGATGGTATGGTATGTGTTATGGTATGGTGGTATGGTACGAATTCCACCATACCATGGTATGCATGAATGGTACCATGGTATGGTATGATGGTATGGTACAAATTACTATACCATGGTATAATTTGATGGTATGAAGCATGGTATGGTTTTTAGAATTAGGAAATTTTTAAAAGTTAATTAAGGTAATTTGAAACATGATTTTTTTAATTTGCTGACATTATGTATCTGGTTTATTTTTGAAAAAGAAAATATTACTATAAAAAGAAAGTGGATGTAGACAAAACAGATCACTTACGTAAAGTTGCGAACAGAAAACAAGAGAACTCAATTGAAACATCTCAGATAACCATAAAGATAAGATAAGATAAATAGTATGTCCCGGCCTGACACATTGAAAATATCTGTCAATTATTCTTGGAAATTTTGGGAAGTGCTGCATATCTTATGATTATAATCTAGATAATGTAAAAGTTTTATTGCTTAACCTTCTGTCAATGACCAACTTTTATATTGTTTTGAAATATGACACTTTCAACGGTTGCATATTCTGTCTACATGTATGCCCAAGAAATCACATTTAATAAAAGAACAGAGTTCCAATGTCCCCCGCATTGCACATATTTTATCTATCCAAAGTACAAGGGCAATAATTAAAAAAACACTTTATTTTGTTCTATAAAACTTTTTATTAAAATATCGTAAGAGAAATTAACGCTTCAGAGAAAATGCAATGTGATTACCATTATAATTTTTATTTCCAAGGGGCATAACTCATCAATTTATTTGATCAGAAGACAGGGTCTAGAAATTTGTTACCAAGGCCAAAATTATTGGTTTCTTTCCTTTTTTTCCTTTTGGGAGTTTTCAGTTTGCCTATTAACATGAACACTTTAATAGATTGATAAGTTACTCACAAAACTGAAATATAAATTATTCAGTTTAGAAGCATATGAGAAAAGTTTGGGGGAAACATGGACGAATAGACTGACATACAGACTAGTTGAATGCAATATAGCCTTGGCATGTAATAACAGAGAATGCTCTAGCCAATACAATATTAGGATCACTATAACTAACGTTATATGGCGAGACAAAAAATAATTTCGTATTTTATAAAACAGCATACCTCCGCTATAGCATATTTGATGTTATAGTTCCATAAGCAAAGAATCATTTCTACAGTCCCACATCTTTCCCAAGAAACCACATTTAGAGGTGGAAATTGCATATCTTCTCTCATTATGAAATGTTTAGGAAGAGCTTACCATGCTGATAAGATGACAGATATTATTACTTATCAAACAGATTACCAAAAAAAAATAAATGGGGAATGTGTCCATGGGACACAGATGATGCCTCCGCTTGCATATTATATAAAGTTATAAAGCCACATAACTGAAGAACGGTAAAAGTGACGCTACCCAAATGTGTACTTGATCTGAGTTTTGTGGTAATAAGTATTGTGTATAAGTCTCATAACATTTGGTTGAGGTTAACTTAAGTTAGAGAACAGAAACGAAAAATTCAGCAGTTTTCCCATTTGTAAACAGGCATAACTCTAGAACGGTAAAAGTGACACCACCAAAATTCAAACTTGATCTGTATATTGTGGTAATAAGCATTGTGTATAAGTTTTATAACATTTGGTTGAGGCAAACTAAAGTTAGAGAACGGAAACCAACTTTGGGACGTACGGACGGACCTACGTACCTCCGTCGGTCCGTCCGTACGTCCCAAAGTACAGACGAACAAGGGTAAAACCTAATGCCCCCTACGCTACGGCGGGGGCATAAAAAAAACTGTTAACCTTTAAGAGTCCTAGAAAATTCACAGAAACAGACACATGTGTAATGGACACCCTTTTATTTTTTGTGTTTGATTTTTCTTTTTTTTACAATATTCTTTGTTGTTGTTTATCCTGAGTTTCAAGATATAATTGGATATGTAGTTATTTTTACACATAGTATACAAAATATTCCAGTTTTGCAATTAATTTAAAAAATTGAAAATTAATAAAGTTTTTAAAAAAAAAATCACACATAATAAAAGAAGACACATTCCTTGTGTATTAACTATTCCTTCATGCAACAATTTCCACATATAAAAACATGTGGTATCTATCAACTAACGTTGTATTATATGAGTGACAGTTTGATTTGAAAGTATGGTGTTTTCTAATTGATACAGGAGATGCATTCACTTTTTATTTACATTTTTTAAATGGGATTTCTTGGGCATGCATGTAGACAGAATATGCAGTGTCATATTTCAAAACAATATAAAAGTTGGTCATTGACAGAAGGTTAAGCAATAAAACTTTAACTACATTATCTAGATTCTAATCATAAGATATACAGTACTTCCAAAAATTTCAAAAATTGACAGAAATTTTCAATTTGTGTCAGGCCGGGACATACTATTTATCTTATCTTATCTTTATGGTTATCTGAGATGTTTAAATTGAGTTTCTCTTGTTTTCTGTTCACAACTTTATGTAAGTAAAAGTCTATTTGTTTTATCTACATCCACTTTCTTTTTTTAGTAATATTTTCTTTTCAAAAATAAACCAGATACATAATGTCAGCAAATTAAAAAAATCATGTTTCAAATTACCTTAATTAACTTTTCAAAATTTCCTACTTCAAAAAACCATACCATCAAATTATTCCATGGTATAGTAATTTGTACCATACCATCATACCATACCATGGTACAATTCATGCATACCATGGTATGGTGGTATTCGTACCATACCACCATACCATCGTACCATACCATGTTTTACAATATGCCATTTCTACATACTGGTATTTCAACATTACTTGTCCCTTATCATGTAGCTAAAAATATTAGACCAAAAGCAACAACAACAAAAAACCCAACATATGATAGATTTTAACAACTTATGTCTCCAAATCACACGAAGCATACATGTAAATATAAAAGTTTTATTCTATTTACACAGAAAGTCTAATTGTGTAGGTAGGGTGAAGCAAAACACTAAATATCATGAAAATTTAAATATTGATTTTTAAAATATATCACTCATTATCTTTTGAAATAAGAATAATAAGAGAGGCGGTAATAAATATGAGTCAGAATAAAACCAAAAGACACACAAAACAAGATACCAGAAGACGTACAATGTGTAAGCATCACACACCACTTTAATACAAGTTTTTTACAATATAATATGTAAAAAAAAATGGAAACAACACTTTATAAAGAGCATACGTCCTAAGCGTGTTTCTGGATTTACCTTCACCAGGAACGCTCAAAGCCGAATATTTGATAGCCAAGGATGTATAAGAACCAACAGTTAAAGAGCTATATAACCAAAAAAGACCCAAAAATAAAAGCCAAATCCATCTAAGGTCAACTTTGCCTGTCGGAGTTGACACCTTCGTTTCTTTATAATTTCTTGATTTCCAATTTAAGAAAGGTTTGTTATTAATAATGTCCAAGTATCAAGCTGTAAATAGACCCGGTGTGGTAATGAGCTGTAAATAGACCCGGTGTGGTAATGAGCTGTAAATAGACCCGGTGTGGTAATGAGCTGTAAATAGACCCGGTGTGGTAATGAGCTGTAAACAGACCCGGTGTGGTAATGTTGTGCACGGTTTTAACAGAAACTTTCAACGGTATGTCACCTTAAAATTGAGAATAGAAATGGGGGATGTGTCAAAGAGACAGCAATCCGACCAAAGAGCAGAAAACAGCCGAAGGCCATCAATGGGTCTTCAACACAGCGAGAAAATCCCGCACCCGGAGGCGGGCTTCAGCTGGCCCCTAAACAAAAATGTGTACTAGTTCAATAAAAATGGACATCACACTAAACTCCAAAACATATAAATGAACTAAAATTAAAAAAATATACAAGACTAACAAAGGCCAGAGGCTCCTGCCTTGTGACAGGCGCAAATATGGGGCGGGGTTAAACATGTTTTGTGAGATCTCAACCCTCCTCTTATACCTCTAGCCAATGTAGAATAAACAAACACACAGCAATACGCACAGTAAAACTCAGTTTAAAAGAAGTCCGAGTCCGATGTCAGAATAGGTAACAAAAGAAACTAAGCAAAATGACAATTATACATAAATTAACAAAGGACTACTAGCAGTTACTGACATGCCAGCTCCAGACCTCAATTAAACTGATTGAAAGATTATTTCTTCATCATATGAAAATCAAGTACAATCCCTCCCGTTTGGGGTTTAGTGTCATACCATCATAAAACATATGAGAAAAACATAACCCGTATCATGCCAACAACTGGTTTTAGAATAAACGTGTTTATTTCCGATGCAAAGACCCTATGAGTGAATCAATACTAGTACCAAACAAGTTTGAGCTTTTTAAAAAGCTGTGGACTGCTTCGCTCTATCATAATTTAAGGTAATACGTGTGCATGTGGTTGTTGATTTAGTATTGGAAATGTGTTATTTTTAGATATTGATTGATATAAAATGGATGTCTTAGACTTGGAATATCAATTTTTGTATATATATTAAGATGAACTGTTCTAAAATTTTAAACTGGCTGTTCAGTGTTGTACGTTATACACCCATGCTTTTAGAAATTTTTTCGATTTACTTGTTGAAATTTAAAACATTTACAAAACACGACTCTCGAGGTGTACCTGCCTCTCTGGAGGTGTGCCCAGATTCGCAGAAGTTATAAAATACAGTGATGCATTTTTGTAAACATTGTATAGGAACTCTTTATTTCATTTAAGCCAATAGCTGTTGCTGTATCTCAGTATCTCAGTCGAATTATAAAGCAACCAATCAGAATCTTTATGTGATAAGTAATTATTTCAAGATGGCGTGTATATCGACTGAAACTAATAGCTCCGCACTGTGATGCGAAGCAAATATGCCATCTTTATGGACCTAACTACAGTATCGTAACTATATCCCTTCTGAATAAGTCTGTCAATCTTCATCTGTCTGTCGATCGAGAAAGGTATTTTAGTGACACAAACTTAATATATGGGAATATTTTTCAATTCTCATTAAGGGGCACAGAATGTTTATGCTGACAATGTTAATCAAACCAATAATGTTATACATGCATGCAATAAAAACACAATTTGTTTGACTGATAAAAATGATAAATCATATGTTTAATTGCTTAAATAATTGAAATACATGTGTATTTAGAATATTCCTATGTGACGACAAGAAAGAATTTGGTATAAATTATGTGCCAATAACTATACGATTTTAGAGTTTGGGGATAAAATTACCCTAGTTTTCAAATTCCAGATGAAAACATCTTTAAAATAATTTGTCGATATGAAATCACTCTGCAAAATTGTATGTCGATTTGGTCGATGAGTAAGGAGATTTGGTACTTTAACCAGTAGAGAAATTGGTTTCATTGTCTTTCAACAAAGTTTGATTGCAAAAAATCCAGCTAAAACAGATATTAAATCATTACAGATCAAATTAAAGTGATTGATTGATTGGTGTTTTTTAAACGTCGTCTCAGCACAAAAAAGGCTATATCGCGGCGATCATTGCAGTGAAATCTTTATAAGGATGAAAAGGTTATCACAAAAGTATCTTGTTGTTTAAAATTGATAGAATATACCCATGGCACGGATCAAAATATACCCATGGCACGGATCAGAATATACCCATGGCACGGATCAGAATATACCCATGGCACGGATCAGAATATACTCATGGCACGGATCAGAATATACTCATGGCACGGATCAGAATATACTCATGGCACGGATCAGAATATACCCATGGCACGGATCAGAATATACCCATGGCACGGATCAGAATATACCCATGGCACGGATCAGAATATACCCATGGCACGGATCAGAATATACCCATGGCACGGATCAGAATATACCCTTGGCACGGATCAGAATATACCCATGGCACGGATCAGAATATACCCTTGGCACGGATCATATAAACATTTATTACTTACCTATGTGAAGACAATTCATAGTAATCTTCAGAAACAGACACAGACAAATTTATGTATGGTTTTGTCTGTTCCAACATTGTTTCCAACTTCCTTCTTAATTCTGTAAATGATGGTCTGCAGTATGGATTAGGATGCCACACAGACAACATTAATTGGTATCTGTAATGTAGAAAGATTTAAAAATAAAATGACTTTTGTAATTCTCAGCCTTAGTTTTTATAAGTTTTCTTCACAGATTTTGTTTCCTATTGTTTTTACCATTTATCTTATTGTGTTTTTGACTATTTACTTCAGCTGATATTTTAAAATATGTTCAAGTTTCTCCATTAGTGCAACAGAAAACATGTTTATGCTAAAAATCTCCTCTGGATTAGCAAACATATTTATTGATTTTCTTAAGTGAGGGCAATTTATAGTAATCTTTATATATATAAACACAGAATTATTAATTCTGTGAATGATGGTTTGCAATATGGGTTAGGAGGACATTTCACACAGTCTCGTCTCGTCTTGTTAAATAAATATTTTTGAATTTGAAAATAGAAGTTGCCGAAATGTCTAATATTTTTTTCATGTTTTCAATCTTCTTGTTTATTCAGATATAGAAAATATCTATTCATGTGTGTCAATAGGACAACATAACCCGCTTAGTTAACCGAAAAATCTGGGTCAAATGTTTTAGTTAATTAAGTAGATTTGCTAGTTTTTTTTCCTCAATCATAATGTCTCCTATTTAATTGATGGTCCTATGTTTGAAAAATAGAAGACATGTCTCCCTCTGTAAATAAAGACTGGAACTGCATGGTTGTTTAGTGCTTCTGCTTTGGATGTTTTGTCTTCTTTCATTTTTCCATCTTCATTGAGTGTTGATACACCATTACTCTCCTGTTTTCTTGACTTTGTATATCTCCAAAATTGTTTAGTGACTCCTTGCTTAGGCAACTCAGTATCGGTTTCATCTTTAATTTCTAATTCCTGCTATTTCTGATTTGTTGAGTTGATAATGTCTTCTTCGTCTGTGTTGATGTCAGACAGATACTGAAAATAATTGTGACTGATGTCTATGACATCTGCTAAAACGAAGGGGTCTGTTACATTGGCAGCAAACAAAGTGATTCTTTGAAACTGCTGATAATCACTAGGCGTAATGCCTCGACATTTTATGTGTACCCATATGACTGTTGGTGCAAATGTCTCGTTCAAGTGCCCTAGGATTATTTTTGCACAGTCAGAATACTGCCAAATCTGTTAGTCAGTTCTTTGTACAAACAGATGATGAGCAACTCTAGACGGCCAAGCAAGCACAAACAGTAATAGAAAAGAGCTGTTCATGAGACGTTTGCATGGTATGAGTTGATTACACCAGACTTTTTAAATATGAACCAAGTTTAACACAAGTCAACGAAATGTGCTTTCTTTGATACAATGTGAACTGTAGACAGCAGTGCTACCATAAAACATAATAGATAGAAGGTTATCCGATACAACGTGAACTGTAGACAGCAGTGCTACCATAAAACATAATAGATAGAAGGCTATCCGATACAACGTGAACTGTAGACAGCAGTGCTACCATAGAACATAATAGATAGAAGGCTATCCGATACAACGTGAACTGTAGACAGCAGTGCTACCATACAACATAATAGATAGAAGGTTATCCGATACAACGTGAACTGTAGACAGCAGTGCTATCATAAAACATAATAGATAGAAGGCTATCCGATACAACGTGAACTGTAGACAGCAGTGCTACCATACAACATAATAGATAGAAGGTTATCCGATACAACGTGAACTGTAGACAGCAGTGCTATCATAAAACATAATAGATAGAAGGCTATCCGATACAACGTGAACTGTAGACAGCAGTGCTACCATACAACATAATAGATAGAAGGCTATCCGATACAACGTGAACTGTAGACAGCAGTGCTACCATACAACATAATAGATAGAAGGCTATCCGATACAACGTGAACTGTAGACAGCAGTGCTACCATAAAACATAATAGATAGAAGGTTATCCGATACAACGTGAACTGTAGACAGCAGTGCTACCATAAAACATAATAGATAGAAGGCTATCCGATACAACGTGAACTGTAGACAGCAGTGCTACCATAGAACATAATAGAGTGTAGGTTATCAGATACAACGTGAACTGTAGACAGCAGTGCTATCATAAAACATAATAGATAGAAGGTTATCCGAAAATTTAACATTTGTTGTCAATTATCAAATTAGATCTATTAAATTTCCTTCTGTGTCCGTATTTATAAATGTAAAAAATTCAATTCAATTAGTCCTACACAAGAAAAATAGCTCATCATAAGTATAGCATTCGAAAAAAAGAAGAGACATGACAGTATTCAAGAGTAAAAAAAGGCATGTAAAAACGTCGCGAAAAATTATATCCAAACTGAAAAACAATGCAATAGACAAGTGTGAAACTGATTGACAAAGTTTGAGTCTTTTATAATTAGTTTTAAAAACAGCATTTTATCTTCGTCATTTGAAATCTGATGGATAGTTGCCTCATTGGCAATTGTACCACATCTCCTTGTTTTAATATAACATAAAAAAAGTTGACGGTCAGTAAACTGTATAAACAAGATACTTAAACTTGTTGTCAGATTAGAGTTCATTCCCTTTACTTACAGTATTCACTCTTATCAGAAAAAAAACCAACAAGTAATACAATTATGCAGATGTAAAAGACTGGCTGACTTTCCCATAATACTTACACCTCCAAACTGCAGTTTTCAGGTTTTTCCATACGATATCCTTCCTTGAGCAATTTAAACAAGTCTTTGTTCGGAATTCCTGGATATGGACTTCCTCCCAAAGTAACAATCTCCCATAAAACTATACCAAACGACCAACTACAAATAAATGTATGACATGATGTAAGGATATAAGAGTTATACAATACTTGACAAATATAAATTTGATCAAGGACAATTGATCCCGTTCGACATAACAAAACCCTGATGGCATGGTCTCGATTTTCGTATGGCATGGTTTCAATACCCGTTAGCCGTGGTACTTTCAGACAGGAAATTATCCTTATTTGTCTCAAGAAGTCTCCGTGGTATTGTCGACATAAAATGATCCCTATTTGCCTTATGGGGTCTCCGTGGTATTGTCGACATAAAATGATCTATATTTGCCTTATGGGGTCTCCATGGTATTGTCGACATAAAATGATCTCTATTTGCCTTATGGGGTCTCCGTGGTATTGTCAGACATACAATGATCTCTATTTGCCTTATGGGGTCTCTATGGTATTGTCAGACATAAAATGATCTCTATTTGCCTGATGGGGTCTCCGTGGTATTGTCAGACATAAAATGATCTCTATTTGCCTTATGGGGTCTCTATGGTATTGTCAGACATAAAATGATCTCTATTTGCCTTATGGGGTCTCCGTGGTATTGTCGACATAAAATGATCTCTATTTGCCTTATGGGGTCTCTATGGTATTGTCAGACATAAAATGATCTCTATTTGCCTGATGGGGTCTCCGTGGTATTGTCGACATAAAATGATCCCTATTTGCCTTATGGGGTCTCCGTGGTATTGTCAGACATAAAATGATCTCTATTTGCCTTATGGGGTCTCCGTGGTATTGTCAGACATAAAATGATCTCTATTTGCCTTATGGGGTCTCCATGGTATTGTCAGACATAAAATGTTTAATATATAGAAACGTGCAGAATTATAAAAGTACGACTGTTGTGTATCATTAGAGATTTTTATATACTTGATGATATTGGGTAGTGTTCAAATCGTAGATTAAAAGTAATTATCTATTATTGTATCCATCTAAATTAATAACCTTTTTCAAACAACAAGTCAATCTATAAACTTATCTGGTTCAACTACTGTCAACTGATGAATGTGCCGCGTGACTATTCATGAATAACCGACATTCAAAAATATCTCCTTGTGAGAGAACTTAGTAATGAAAATGATAAGTCAGTACATCGCAAGACCATAATGACTATTCTATAAATACTGAGTTTTATTCCATCTCAAACATTACATGCCAAACAAAATGATTGCTCGTTTGAGACAATATCCTTAAGAAGCAAACCTATTATGTAATTGGCTGTTAACTGTCTGTACAATACCATAAACCAAAATATATATAGTAACTTTATGACATTTGGAAAAACAATATTAAAATTTGAAACCTTTAAGAATCTTAAATAGATAATAAAAATTGACATATTACATTTAATTATGAAATACAATCTGAATCATTGCAGTACTAAACTTGATTAATTTGCTTATTGTATCCATATCCATTACGAATATGAACTGCAGGTTGTTGACGAATAATGGAATTGTTGACAAAGTTATTACGCTGAAAGCGATACAAACAAACAAAAATAAAAAATGAAGCTGTGCGAAACAAAAAAAACCCAAACGTAAACATCAATTTAATTTGATAATGAAGAGCAATGAATTAAATGCCATTGTAAATCTACACTTAATAGAAAAAAATACCTACAAAAGGTACAAAATAATATACAAAAAATCAAAAAATATCATAAAGTGAGAAAACCGCGTGAAATCGACCAGACAAAAGCATAAGGAAAAGAGATTTAAACATGGTAAGACAAAAAATTAATTGTCAAAAATATCTCTAGTAAACAAAAATGAGTAACAAACCCCTGTTCGAACCAGGAATCATCTAAACAAATTCTATTTTGTTCATTTATTTAATTGTGGTCTACGGTATTCAAGACTGTAGCAACACGAAGGCCGCCAGAAGTGGAACAAAATCTGTTCATCTTTCTAACGCAAAAAGTTCACACCAGTTTTTCAGATAGTTTTGTGCTGAATTTTTTATGGTTTACTTATTTTGCTCTATTGGTCATGTGTTTGGTTTAGAGCACTATATCAATGATTTAAACGAAGAAGTGTCGTATGGTTAGACAAGATACAGGAGGTATCAGTCTACTTATGTATAGTGTTTTATCATCGATACTAACTTTTCATCTGATTTAAACATAATTTACACGACAGATGTAACAATTGGAGAAGGAAATAATTGCCCTTCGGAAACACCTGAGTTCACCAAGTTGTACAATCTTAAGTTGTCTGTGTAGTTTTATAAGTTGTCTGTGTAGTTTTATAAGTTGTCTGTGTAGTTTTATAAGTTGTCTGTGTAGTTTTATAAGTTGTCTGTGTAGTTTTATAAGGGCTGTTGACCGCTTATTTATACTCTTTCTGTTGACTATAGTAATGTCAATCGTTTTTGTCGCTTATGAATACCCCTTTTTGGTATATTTTTTTCTTATTTCATACTACTGAGTGAATTCTATATCTATATCAAAGTGCTTCGAGAGAAACCGCCAATGTTATAGTTCGTTCAGGATCTAAACAACATTTTCCCTTCAGTTGCACTTTTATTAAATACATAAATATAAGAAGATGTGGTATGAACTAGTGCCAATGAGACAACTCTCCATCCAAGTCACAATTTGTAAAGGTAAACCATTATAGGTCGAAGTACGGCCTTCAACACGGAGCCTTAGCTCACATCGAATACCACTTTCATTAATTTAATACCAAGTTATGAAAAAGTCATTCAACGTTTGTTGACATAATGTTAATATTGCAAAGGAAACTGAGAAGCCAGTAATCATGTATAGTGCATCGATATTTTGATGTTAATTGATTGTCAATTTATAACCAACCAACCTAAAAATATCTCTACTAAGTGCAGTCAAGACAAAATATAATTTCGCATCTTGCTTTATCATAAACGTGTTATGTAAAAAAAAATTTCAGACTGGCCAGCAGCGCCTTTAATTTGAAAATAGCATATGATTCATGGAGACCAATGTTCTCTTCCATAATAACGTATGTTAAATTTGACGTCTTTCGGACTAATTAAACATACCATGAAGCCTTAGGAAATGTGTTGGTCTTTAATTGAACACAGAGTATGGTATACGACATTCAGATATACAATAAGGAAGGGGTATAATTCTTTTATTCACCATGACATTCACAGATTCCTCTCTCAATATATATGAAGCCAAATGTATAGGCTTTGACTTCTATAGAGGTTTCGATCAGCAGTTACTTTTTAACTCAACTGAAGTTGAAAAAAATCTTTTATATAAATGTTATAAAAGCCTTTAAAAATTTCATAACGTTTTTGATCAGTAGTTTTTTTAATAGCTCAACTGAAGTTGAAAAATCGTGACTATAAATGTAATCAAAAGCCTTCAAGAATTTTATGGATGAGAGAGATTACCGGGCAATTTTCAAAATAATTTACATTTCCTAGAGCATTATTCTCTATTATTTTTTTTTTATTAATACTAATTTTCCAAATCGATCATAAATTGTCTATGTTATCCGTTTAATCAGTTTGATAAGATCCGTAAAAATGACAAAGGTGAGAGTCTCTCCTACAGGGCACTTTTTAACCTACAAATTATATTTCTAAAGAGCATAACTAGGGACATAACTCCCCAATAAACTTTCTATTGGCATTGACCTTTTTACGCATTTACAATTGCTATATTGAAGAAAAACCTTTTCAATAAACTTAAATACAAATTTACCCGGCGCTGCAAGGGTAAGACCACTTTCAAGGTCATATATATAATTTAGATTTCCAAGGACACAACTCCTTTCGCTTGGTGCTGGTTGCCAACTCGATCGAAATATTGAAAAGATTTAAAACATGCAAACAAATTTAAAAAAAATAAATCAAGAATTGTTAAAGTAAGAGCGGCTATAAAGCAATTTTTCAAGTAATTTATGCTTTCTAAGAGGCGTAACTCTCAATTTCTTATCGGCACTAATTTCGAATGCGACAGATATAGTGTCCTTTTCATGTAATGTTTTATCAAAATATAACAATTTTTGCAAGGATGAGAGAATCGACAGTGTATTTTTTTTTAAATGGCTTTTGTTTCAAAGGGCATTACCCCAACATTTTATTTTATGGAAACGTATTTCCTCAATCGAGACGTTCATCATTTCACGACAATGAAATGATAAAACCATGTTGGTGAGCTACCAATCATACAAGTAATGGTAAAAACTCTTCTTAGAAATTCAGTTTAAAGTCTGTTCTTTACTTATGTTTTACTTGTCGAGACATTTGTCTAGTATCTAATATGATCAATTACAAAACGATGTTTCAAAACTTTAATCCAGAGAATTTTAAAATCTCGTAAACCTTAATAATACAGGAAAGTGTACAAGAGCAAGTCATCACAATTGACCTTAAAATTTCGAGAATCATAAACTCCGCGAACTGCAATTCAATTGCTCGAAATATAACTCTCTTGTACTCCGCAAGGCATGTGAAACTGCGACATTTTATCTGAACGGAAAATACTGTTCAATAAGTCATGTATATATCCGTAAGATTAAGTTCACGTACATCGCAATTGATCTTGATATTTACAATACATCCCTCAAATACCCCCCCCCCCCCCCCCCTTTTCCCCCGCTTTCGAAGCTGGTAGTAAATATTGATGAGAGAGTTTGTCTGTTAATCCTCTCATCCAATTTGTGTTTTCGCTGTTGATCAAGAACAGCATGACAAAATATTGTAAAACTTTCACAGAATCCTACAGACTCCACTAAATGACTTCTCATACTTTATCGATAATTCCTCAAAATCTTAACCCTGTACTTGCTTAACATCACTAATTTTTTTTTAAAACACTACTGTAGTTATTGTAAAGCTAAGACATGCATCTGTGATTGAAACTGAATTTGAAGGCTCTGAAAACAGTTTGTTAAATTTTTCAATGAATTTGTTGACATTTGTAATGCAGACAATTTTAGATTTTGATCAGAGACTACTCCCACAGTCAATTAATAACTGTTGAATCTATTTGTTTTTAGTATTTATACTCGATAGCTGTTATTTACTTGTCTTTACTTAAACCAAAATCGAAAATAATTTAATTGAACAAAAAAAAAACCTACGGATTGACTGAATGCGAATCAAATAATCATTATGGATCGCAGTATGGTTGTTATCATAACAAGGCGAACTGTTATGGAATTTTGTGAACACGCACACACACACACCCACTCACAACTTAAAACAGATGAGATAGAACGAATAAAAATTTAAACTATAAACATTAGGAAGAGGCAACAAAAACAAAAACAAACCAAAAGAGTACAAAAATAAACTATAGTAAAATTGAAATTGCAATTGCAATGGAATTGTCTTCTGACTATTTCAGGACAAAGGTATTACACTGTAACATCACTGTTGTCGGGTGATTGTTAAATACAGTTAATTGTGATTTCAGGATACTAAAAATATAAAGGATTTTGTTCTGACCTAATTTGAGTTATTGTATGCAAGAAGGCTGAATAACTTGTAATAACCCTTCAATGGAAACGATTTATCAATTGAATAACGAGAAATCTGTTCTTAGAAAAATATATTTGAAAAAAACTGAGTCATTTCACGATAAAAAATTCTGGATTTCAAGTATCTGTATTTTCGTCTCATCTTTTCCAAACCTTTTCATAATCAAATTTACAAAATTAATGTGTTAATAACAATAATTAAATCATACAATTGATGTTAATATTAGCTGGGAAAATTTGTTTGACTGGCTGTGAAAATAGAATAATTGTCAATCGATTTCCATGATGTCGGGTTTTTTGTTTTAAATTTTTAACTGTTAACAGCGTCTCCTATCCTCTAACCATTACAAAATACTTTTGAAATCTATATTTGAAGTATCGGCGTGGTGTTGAACGTATTTTATTTCACTTTTCAATAGTACATAAAAAAATATCATGAATCACCACAGATAACTGATCGTACAACTGACAAGATCAACCACAAACACCCTTCTCCTCCAAAAAAAAATAAGACGTAGAAACAACTCTCACTAAATAATTCAAATTTTGGTGACTATGTTGAACGCATCTATCCCATCGAACTTGAGATAAAGGATACAACAGATACATTTAAATCTGCATAATATCTTGACTTACATCTAGAAATTGACAATGAGGGTCGGTTAAAAACAAAACTTTATGACAAAAGAGATGATTTCAGCTTCCCAATTGTGAACTTTCCATTTTTATGTAGCAACATTCCAGCAGCGCCTACATATGGAGTATATATCTCCCAGTTGATACAATACTCCAGGGCTTGTATTTCTTATCATGATTTCTTTGATAGAGGGTTGCTGCTCACAAGGAAGCTATTAAACCAAGTGGTGAAGTTGAAATCATCCCTTCGTAAATTTTACGGACACCATCACGAGTTGGTTGACCGTTACGGAATATCCGTTTCACATATGATAGCGGATGTGTTCCTAATGTCGTAACCACAATCCCTTTGGAATCTTTCGCCCCTCTTCTAAAAGATAACGAACAACACATGGTCTAAAAATCCTGAATTTTTACTCAAAAAGTGGTTGTGTTAAACAAGTTTCACATTCGTACATCCCATTGTTTTGCCTTTCTAGATCGTATGTCGTAAATCAAACACAAAAACCATGCAAAGTGCAGTAACCAACAGGATGAAAACTAACTATACAGCATGTGCTGTTGGTTTAATACTGCCTTTCAGAAAGAAAAAAAAAACAAGAAACAACACTTAATAATGTTGATCACCCTTGGTTTTTGATGGGATTCGTGTTGCTCAGTCTTTAGATGTCTATGTTGTGTTTTGTATACTGTTGCTTGTCTTTTGGTCCTTTCCTTTTTTTTTGCCATATGGCGTTGTCAGTTATTTTCGACTTGTGATTTAGAATGTCCCTTTGGTATCTTTCGCCTCTCTTTTCCTGAAGTCGCTTTATAATATGTACATTTGTAATTGAAATCGTCAGGATTTTTAAGAGACCAGTAGGTATTTGGAATGATCAGATCATCGTAAGAAAGAACATTTTAACTCAATTAGTGAGTATTTCACACCTTTAGCCCTTTCTGTTAAAATTTAATATGTTTTAACGTTTTTGTTCTAAAAGCACCTTACAATGAAAGAAAGGATGAGAAAATTTTTATAGAGTCTTATATTTACAGATAAAAACTGATAACGTCTGAGGTATCTGTAACCTTATAAAAGTAACTTTTGTGTTTATGCAAAGTTACAAAGTCAGCTTCATTAGAAATATTCTAGAAAACAGTACAAGATGTGAAATGTAGATGCGATAGAACGCGGCAATGAATTCAAAAAGTATAAAAAATATAAGGGGGAAGTCCAAAAAAAACTGACATAATCAAACGTTATACTTTATCAACCAACGGAACGAATGGAAAACAACTGTCATATTCCTGATTTGGTTCAACTTATGCTTAACATAAGTGTCATACTTACACATCTGACTTAATTGTAAACACTTGGTCAAAGATGGCTTCCAGCGCCATCCATTTATATGGGAGTTTCCTTGCCGAGGTAGGTTGATAAAGATTTCTTTCGTAAATATCTCGTGTCAGACCAAAATCAGACACTTTTATCCGCTCTTCATCATACATTAGTATATTTCTGGCGGCTAAATCTCTGTGAATGTACTTCCTTGATGCCATATATTCCTTAAATAAAAAAAAAAAAAAAAAAAAAAAAAAAAAATCCAATGAGTTTTGTTTAACTTATCTAGACAGGCAATTATAAAACAGAGAACTTACTGCCTATGGTAAATTTGAAAATACATCAGGAAGAAAATACCAAAACCAGCTGTGTTAGAATGGGGAAACAGAATCCAGACAAATTTGCGAACTTGACGAATAAATAGTACGAAGCCATGTGTATGGAAGATAAAAGGCACACTTAAAGAAACAATCGCCAATAGCTATTGAAGAAACACACACTTCAACAACAATAGTGAAAATACACAGACTCTAAGAGAACGACAGCAGTTAAATCGTGAAAAAGACGAACATAACTTGAAATCACCAACAACTATAATTAAAAAATACGCATACTAAAAAGAACGCGAACACTTTCTGAAAATACGCACTCTAAAAGGAAATCCCATAAAAATTTGGTGAACAGACGCACAGTAAAAATAACGCCAACACGTTCTTAAAAAGATGCTTACCAAATGAGAATACCAAAAAACAAATTGTGAAAAAGACGCACCATATTGATATCAACAACAGATATCGCGAATAAACGTACACTACAGTGTAAAAGAAAAATAATAATGAATGTTTTGGCTAACATATTCTACTTCACATACTACACACGTCGAATTGTTAAGTGAAACAGCAACCCAACAACTTAAAAACCAACAGACATCAAGGGGTAGACACGTGGTCGATCTTCAACATTTATAGACAGGTGTAGAGAAATGTTAAGATATAAGGCTCTACGATTATAATCGAAACATTTTAAGTCTTGCTTCAAATTATAAATGAATGAGTTGATGCTTCTCTAAAAATGTATCTTAGAAATTCATATTCATTTTTTATATAAAGAAGTGCATGTCTCTATACCGTCCGCTTTAAACAAAATTTTACAGAACCTAGGCCAGTTTATACTAGAAATAAATAAAGAAATGTTTCCAGGGAATTAAACATGAAAGAATATTGCAATAACAGTGAATACAAAGAGAAATGACCTCACTATATTTAAAAAAAAAAGAATAAAAGATGCTTCAACTTTTTAATAATTTTGCGTTTGACACAAAGTTCTGTTATTACATTTTTTGTAAATTCCCAAGAGACCCTCGCAGTTAGATATGTAAATGGCTTAATGCACCGTAACTGAGATTCATTTGCTATGAATCTGTTTAATTGGAACTAAAAACTGTTCCATCGAAAAAAATGTGAAATAATGAGAAGTTATGGTTAAGTTATACTTTACTGTCAATAGCAATGATTATAAGCTAACTTACCATCGCTAATACAATCTGTCTGGCGTAGGACAGTAAACGAGCTTGCTGTAATTCTGTTGGTGACTGTGCTATATTAAGTGAAGAAAAAGATTGTACGTTTATATCAAAAATATCTTTAATTATATTTGCAAGAATTTTATAGATGTGTTCTTTCCATCTCGGTTAAGAGTCATGTACTATATGAATAAGTATTAGACCAATTAAAACGAAACGACAAAAAGGTAAACAGATTTTCAAAAAAATGTCTTTTGCTACTTTGGAAGATCAAATAAGTCTGAGTGAGAGTGAATCCATACAAACTCTATCAAAATTTTAAGTAGCCATATTTCATTTAAAAATTACTACAGCTAGTAATTATCGTTAATAACAAGTCATTAAATATATCGGTTGTTCTTGACAGAGTTCCCATTGAAGTAAAAAAACAGGAGCAAACCCCAGCTATATTTCGTAATGAAGTATGAACTGAAAATCCCTTTAAATGAAACCACACTTACATGATGTAGAACTTCCCCCTGAAGAATGCATACCACTATCGTCGTCGGATGAAAGTCGGAATGTTCTATAATCCGTCTGCAAAACAATAATGTGGTTGACTTTTAATACATCCGACAGAGTCAAACGAAAATATCCCAGAAAAAATAGTATATATAATGTCGATTCTATGTGCAAGACATGTGTCTCTAAAAAATACCTTTATTATGATCGTGATTAAAAGTTATGACAGGCAAAATATAAATGGACTGAACGTATTATACTAAAAAAAACCTTTATTATGCTCGAGATTAAAAGTTAAGACGGGCGAAATATAAATGGACTGAAAGCATAATACAAAAAAACAAAAACAGAACAACCAAAACCCGTCTAAGGTCAACTTTGCCTAAGGAAGTTGTAGCCTAAACCGTCTAAGAGAGTTGCAGCCGAAAGCCGTCTAAGGTCAATTTTGCCTTATGGAGTTGCAGTCGAAAACTGTCTTGGGTCAATTTGACTACAATAGTTGTAGCCGAAAACAGTTTAAGGTAAACTTTAACTAAAAACGTTGTGACCGAAAACAGTCTAAGGTCAACTTTACCTACAGGAGTTGCAGCCGAAAACCGTCTAAGGTCAACTTCGTCTTAGAAAGTTCCAGTCGAAAACCGTCTAAATTCAACTTTACATAAAAGAGTTGTAGCCGAAAACCGTTTAAGGTCAATTTTGCCTAAGGGAGTTGCAACCGAAAACAGTCTAAGGTCAATTTTGCCTAAGGGAGTTGTAGCCGAAACAGTCTAAGGTCAATTTTACCTTATTGAGTTGTAGCCGAAAACAGTTCATGGTCAACTTCACCATTGGGGTTTGTAGCCGAAAACCGTCTAAGGTCAACTATAATTAAAGGAGTTGCAGCGGAAAACCGTCTAATTTCATCTTTTTCTAAGGAAGTTGCAACCAAAAACCATCTGAGGTCAACTTTGCAAAGTGCTTATGACGCATGAAATTTATAACGTGCTGTTTTCATTTTTTTGCTTTAGTGAAATGTAGCCGAAAACAGTCTAAGGTCAACTTTGTGTAAGGTTGTTGCAGCCAAAAACCGTCTAAGGTCAACTTCACTTAAGGGAGTTGTAGCCGAAAACCGTCTAAGTTTGAATAAGAAAATGTGGTATGAGTGCCAATGAGACAACACTCCATCCTAGTCACAATGTGTAAAAAGTTAACAATTATAGGTCAAAGTACGATATTAAAACGTAGGTGCCTATATAACATAGACGTTACCGGTAGTAATAAAAAAAATGTAGGAATAATGTCAAAAAGACAACTCTAACCTGGGACAAAAAGGCGTTAAATAAAACAACGTACACAGGTAAATTTAAATATAATAATGTTGCTGTTAGACATTTTCGAAAACTGTTCAAAACTGTTATGTTTACATTGATGATGACATTTACAAATAATTATACAAGGGACATCTCAAAGTGTACAATGGTGATGAATTGAAAAGCGAATAACGCATTTATAAGATGTATTTTAATGCAAATCAACAAAACAAGTTGCGACCCCTGTATCAAAAAGCAGCACAAATATTTACAATTTGATAGAATTTCCTGCTGGAATGTTTGCAAACACTTCCCATAACTCTATAATTCTTCAATATTCCAATTTATAACTCAATAGTAACTCTGTATTCTTTAATGAAATTATTAATTTTTCGACACCTCTCTTTAAATTGACCGGTTTTCACTGTATTAGTTGTCGTTTATAGGGTACCACAAGAGGTTAGCTATTAGGAAATATTTTATCAGCCAGTAAAACTATCCCTTCAAGAAAGTCAAGCTCAGTATTTCTACCAGTTGACCATAGCATCGCAAACTGTTGCGATTTATTTTGATGCCCCAGAAACCCGTATTCAATACAACAAATTTTGCCAAAATTATCGATAACGACCTGAGTATGGATGCATTAAAAATGGCGATGTCCCGAAAATGAAAGCTTCTGGGGATTAAACAGTGATCAGTAAATTTCTGTTGAGGTACCGTCAATAGAATCCACTGCCATTAGTAGTTTTTTTTTACACTTTTGCTCTCAATTTATTTAGAGATAGCCACTGTACCAGATTATGAAAATGTTGGTAAAAACACGGATATTCACTAATTAATTTCATCATGTATTGTGATAACGCTTAAGAAAAAAATTATGGTAATCATATGAAATCACGGATATGATCTTAGCCAAAGCATGAACAACATTACTTTATTTCTAGGATAAGTTTCTGTGGCCTGTCAGTGTTACGCACGAAAATTTCATTACCAATTTGTTTCAATATGTCTAAAAGGGTTTCGGCTGTTTCTACAGTTGTTTAATGAAAGGAGTATCTGTGACGGGAAAACATTTGAGAACATCGTTTCCCTACCATGTGTACAGCATCATCTACAATTTTAAGTTTGAGTTATGGTTTAGGGAGAAAATCCATTGTTGGAACTCTTATCCGGGGATGAAAGAAAAATCAATAACGAACAGAGACCTCTTGCATTGTAAGGAGAGGGCGGGCAACAAAATCGTCCGACAGTGGAAGAGGAGGGCAGGTAACTAACTATCTGACGTCGCATCAAAGCAAATTGTGAATGCGTAGGAAAAAAAGATATTGATTCTTAAATTTTTACTATAATTCCATTTAAAACCCGTTATTAATGTAGTAACAAGAATAACAAATCAAAGAATTCAAATATCGAAAAATTTCAACTTGTGAACGAACATTCGTGAATTAATGTGTTGTTCGGTCACTCGTTGAATATTTTTCCATATTTGAATTCTTTGATTAGTTATTCTAGCCACATTTTTCGGGTCATTGTGTATTTTGAGATGACCCACAGGTAAGTTTACCTGTAATAATCATCGTCACCTTAAAAGTTATTGTGAACTATAGTTTCCGAAAATGTCTGTTAGGAGTACGGATGTAACCATTTTTTGCAAACGAAGATGAGAATTAAGTATTCAAATATCTGCAAAGGCATTCAAAATTTTAAGCAGACCATGTTTAAGTTTAAAAGTTTTAAGTTCTAATATCGATTTTTGAATTTTTAGGTGAAAATACGATTTTTGAAATAACAAAATTTCCGAAATTTTTTTCCATTTGTAAAGGGGCATAACTATAGAACTGTAAGAGAACCACCACCAAACTTCAAACTTGATCTGTGTTTTGTGGTAATAAGCATTGTGTATAAGTTTCGTAACATTTGATTGAGGCATACTAAAGTTAGAGAACGGAAACCAATTTTGGGATGTACGGACGAACTGACGGACGTACGTACAGACGGACAAGAGTAAAACTTAATGCCCCCTCCGGTACGGCGGGGGCATAAAAATGGGAAAACCCAATACATGAAGGCCGTACGCTGTACTTTAATCGAAATGAATACATTATTAAAATCCTTTTATTTTTGGTAAACATTTTTAACTGTAACTTTGCCTAGTAAAGATGCAGAGTACCGAGAGATTTAATGCAAAACATTATTTGACATTGATTGCTTCGTCGTTTTCCGCCAATTATTCTGCTCATTCTTTACCTTTGAAAATAAACTTTTGAAATATTCTGTAAGCATTGGTACGATTTATCTATATATGTTTTTATGCATAATAGATTGGGTTTTTTTTTATTCTTGGTTGTTTTTTTGCAATAAATTCTTATTTATGAGACACGCCGTATCCCGATGAAATTTTGTTTTGAAAGTAGAAATCCAATTTATAGAAATGCAGGATGATGTGTGCAAATACGGGGAATTGTACCACTATTAATGCAATTTCGTTAAGAAACCCATTCGTTTTAAAATGGTCGCCAAAAAACGGCGCTAGCAAAATAGAAAAAGGAAATTGATTTGGAATTAAAGAATACGGATAGAATTAGGCGAAAAAGCACCATACAAGCAGACGTTGAATATCATAGAGAAAATAGTTGTTGGCAACAAAAGGAGTAGTTGAACTTGGATAATTGGCCGAACAACTTTCAATTCTGAATTATTTTCTCGAAATTTACAAACAAATTTTAAAGAGATAGTTTCATTAACCTATATTATTCAAACGACAGAAACAAACTGAATAGATTTTATATGCATGTTAATTTACGCCTGTGTATTCGGGGATGGCTGTGTTTTTGTGTTTTGAGTTGGACATAATGTACAAATACAGATGATGAAAAACGCACCATTTCCTAAAGTAGGGAGACAGAACCGCTGAAGGACGATAAACAAAGTTGCCTTTTGGGGAGGGGTATATTGCTCACATAGGCGTCGGAAAAAGCCCGAGGGTATTCACAGTCTTTTAAGGAGTTTTTATTACAAGTATGTTTGTAAAAAAGGAGTGTTGGTAGTTCTTTTTTGAATAATTACATTAGATGTATGTTTCATTATCATACGTTGCAATCTCGCGTCATTCTTCATTTCAAAATGAATTTCATGAATTGTAACATACATGATGACACACGTTTCCACAATAAAGTGCACAGGTAAATATAAGAAAAAAAATGACAGTAATCGTGTTTTCATGATCATAGCGAAAAAATGTAATCATAAGTATTGAATGCTTCTTTTAGTAATTTCATAGGGTTGCAAAAGCGTTGACCGTGCGTACATTTTTAGAATGAAGCGCTTCCGCGCTTCATACAAAATGTACTTCGGTCAAAGCTTTTACACCCCAATGAATTTACAAAAAGACGCATTCAATTCTTAAATAAATGGAGATGTGGGATATACAATAAGACATCAACAGCTGGACAATTAACGAAACAAAACCAAAGATATCTAGATAAACGTGACAAATGCATTATGGACGAGTATCTTTTTACTTAATTTGTAGTTTTAGTAAAGATTCGTTGGTCTCTTGAACTGGAAAGTTAATAAGTATATATAGTAAAGCAAATATCAAATCTATCAAATTATAACATCATATGTTCACAACAATAGCCATATTTTAATTATCACAGTCACATGTTTCAGTCTACTAGTACATATTTGTTAAAGTCTTTAAACTTCTTGTATTTCAGGAGACCAATCAAACCATTATGAAATAATGAGATGTGGTAAGATTGCCAATGTGACAACTTTCCATCA